AATAATAATAATAATAATAATAATAATAATGAAATTACAATCTAACACACAATGTGTCCCTTTAAATTTCATATATTGTAATTAAATGTATCCCATAAAATTTCAAAACAAATTTGTTGCTTCACCTTCACTATCCGCGACTTGTTCAAAAAATTACTAAACATGTCTCTATAAAATTTTGGAATTAATTTAGTACTATATTTACACCCACTCGCATTACTTGGTATTCTTACATAAATAATGTAGGATTTTAACTTTCCTTTAGTTCTACAGTGTCTGCGATCTCGACATTGTAAATACACAGTCCGTAATTTCACAACACCCATTTAAATTTTGAAATAAATTTACGAAATACTTTTCTTTTTCTCTTCAATCATCTAATGAATACTGTGGCTACGTATTTCACAACATTCTGAGCACTTACACTACCTTTTAAAACTGACATGTTTTTTAAAATATCTGGATTTTGTGTTGCATGAATGATCACTTTGGCAGCTTTGCTCATTCTTTTTTAGCTTCTCATTACCACACTCTGGCTTTCCCCCCATTGTTTAGCCTTCTTCTCCTTTTGATTGGTCCATTTCCATCGAACCGCTGTCAACTGTCTTTAAATACCGGCTAAGCAGCCTGATATGTTTCATACTTCTCTTGAAGCCTATTTTTATTGGCCATAGCAAATTAATTTTTTTTTTAATTAAAATATTCTTTGCACTAAATAAATGTTCTTTTTACTTCTCATGTTTATATTTAAAATATTGTTTAGGTTTTAAACCAATTTACAGTAAATATTTGTAGCCACATTGTCCTTGTTTTGCTAATTTTAATACCAGAAAATAATCTCCTGAAGTCTGATATACCAACTCGTTTTACATTAGGGATTTTCAATGATATTTAATAACAAATAATAAATAAAAGATACTTTCTATGATAATGATATACCAACTAATGAAGTACGAAAAAAGTTTTATATTTATTTGTAGGTAAAGAGATTGAAGTTGAAATAGTGATAACTCTCCTTTTGTTTGAGAATTTCCCATTAGCAGAGAAAAGAAGTGATCAGTGAACAAAACAATAACAGAATTAGGAGAAATCTGACATTTAACTTTCAACTATTAGCAAATAGTGAAATAAGCAATAACAAAAACCTAAAATCTGCAATGATTACAATCTATTAAGAGCCATATTTTCAGGGAAAAAACTGAAATAAATTAAAATTTTGTCAATAGGTCCAGCTTCACCGGCACCCAGACCTGCCTTTGTTCTGCTGGCCGAAGAGACGCCACCGTCAGCACCAGCACGACCCCAAGGATGGGCACCACCAGCATGGTACGAATCGCCAACTTCAGCGTAGGATGGGACTGGACAGAGAGGAAGGAGAGAGACAAGGCTGGCATACACAACAGTAGAAATTTTATTACCAACATGAAGCTACGAATTTAAATTATGAACAATGATTAAAAAGAAAAAAACACTTTTGGCATAAGACCTACAAGAGAAAATTTGCTATGTATTTGCTCCATCATCCTTTGTCAGATTATGTGGACAATAAGTGTCTGGTCATGTGAATGCGGTCCATCAATTGATTACTGGTGTTAACTGCTTCTTTCACGTAGAGGTCACGCACATGATGGAGTTGTTTGAGAGGCTGTGAACATAAAATGAGTTGGACATGAAAGAATTTGTATCCAAGATTAATGTGGTTTCACATAACAGAGTAGAACTGCCAATTAGAATCCATGCCTTCCAGAACTAAGAAATGTATCTTTTCTGGCCTGATGCTTTTGACTACTATGTTCTTTGTAATGACCTTTAGTGCCAATAAAAAATGCACTGTAGTTTCCTGATAAAGAGTAATACGAAGTGGTCCAGATGAAATAGAATATATGTCTCTGTAAGAGAATATTATGTTGTATATAATGAATGTCTTCAATAATATTTTTTAACTCTGACTCCTATTCTTTCAATTACTTATATAATCCCCAACTGCAACTTTGAACAATGTCTCTATTTTTTGGAATTTTTTAAAATAAAATTTAATAAACACTACTAGTGAAGGTAATAAATTACCAGGGAATTAAATAACAAGATTTAAAGGTTTTAAATGAAAGCAGCTAGGTAAGTATGTACTTTAGAGGTATTGAAACTAATATCAACAATGAAAACGGAAATTACTTGGAAG